AAAAACTAATTGCTGGTTTTAAAGTTGTATCCTATTAACTTATTTCATCTGTCAGTGGATGTAAATCTTACATAACACAACATTTTTTTCTTACTTTAGTGAAACCACAGTTTTATACAACACTTTCTTTGTTACCTGAATACACTTTTCTTTTTGTGCACTTTTGTTCAGGCTGCAGGAATCCAGACAAACAAGTGTTAATTCCCCATGATGTTTTCCAGCTGACAGGCCTAATTGATTTGATTTCCACTGTTTTCACAAGTGACCCCCCTCAACCCGTCATCACCACTTCTTTTGATACCTGAGCTTTACTTTCTACTCTCACATTCCACTTTAACAACTAATAAAGAGCTTATTAGGGAGGAAGAAACTCATTATTTGTTTTCTAAACTCTGCTCCATGAGCAGCAGATTCAGTGGGTTATAGCCCTGTATTATTAATCAATACAGAACATTTGCTTCTATTAGATTACCAGCATCTTTTATCATCAGGCTGAGGGTAGGAACCTGTTTCTTTGTGTTCTGCTACCCACGCTCCAGCTAGACTAGACAGAGATAAAAGACAGCTGAGTAATATTTTCCTGAGATCCCTGATGATGCACACAGATGGCCTGTAACAAATGAAATATGCAAGGTGACGGCTGGAGTTCTCCTCACTCCAAGTTCAACTTTTACGGCTTAGAGAGTATTTCAGTCCTTACACCACAGCTTCATGGTAGAGAGAGATTTATTTTCTTATCTGTAACAGGGTTTGTGAGTCTTTGCCTACCATGGCCATTAATGGTTGCAGTAGGAAGTAGCCAAGTGCTCTCACTGTACTTCTTGCCTTATTAAAAAACAGCTGTGGAAAAAATGTATTGAAAAGAGCAATGCAGCCATGTGGAGCTTGAGAAATCTAAGGGGAAGCACTGGAGAAGTTTGTTATCTACATGGAATGAAATACAAGGCTGAAGAATGCCATTAAGGGATGTAGCATATGTAAAAGCAAACAAACAATATCAAACACATATTAAGTCAAGTAAAAGATTACATGTTGGTAGCACAGGGAAAAAAAAGGCCCTTTGTAATAAAGTAAACACAGATCTGTTTACAGTGCCTGAAAGAAACAATTTTTTTTTTCTGGCCTATTACTGTGTCTTCTCTGTGACTGCCTTATCAGATCACAGTCCAGCTGGTGGTTGTGTCCATCAAATTCACTTTTGCTAATGTATTAAATAATCTGACCATAATGCCTGGCTGTGGATCATAGTCTGGTGAGCAGGAATTCATCCAATTTGAACTGAACACAGTTTTAAACACGTAGCTCCTAACCTTCCTAACCCCTGGAGTCTCAGCTTAGTGAAAGATCATCTTAAAACAATCCAAATATCTTCGACAAGACTTTAGAGTCAAAAAGTGACTTAGCTCTGTTGAACTGCAGAACAGCACTGATAAAGCAGGGATTCCTCAACTGCTTAAGCAGCCTGGACTCCAGAAATCTGTGAGCAGCTCATCACCTTTCCTATGTTCGTGTCCTCAGGGGCAGAAGCATGTGGAAGGAAACCCCAAAATCCAAACTGAGCTGCTGCCTGGGAACTGTGCCCCTCTCAGGAAAGGTTTTTTTTGGGTGTTGCTTCCCTGGGGAAGGGGTGGCTACAGACATTATGTGGCTGTGCAGAAAAATGCTCTGCTACGGACACACCCCACTCCAGATGAATGCAGAGCACCTTCTTCCAATCCAGAGACAGAAGAGGACAGTGGACAGCTCCAGCCAAAAGAGGTGGCAGGTAGCCAGGGAATATGGGTCTGGAGAACTCCACAGCCCTGAGCCAGAATGGGACCCAGCCCCACTGGTTGTGGTGCCAGTAAGAACAAAGAACTGCTGCCCCATTAGGAGCTGTGGGATGAAGGGGTGGTGAGAAGATAAAACTGTGAGAAGATACTGTAGGAATCAAGTGAGACTCTAAGTTATGACACACAGATGCTGAACAGAGCAGATCTGGTGGCTCTGAGTGACTGCTGAACAGTACATGACCCTCACCATGCATGTCATGCCTTCAGTCTGATGGCAAGGAATCCCACTTAAAGTTTCCAGATTTGTCTTTTCTGTCTGCACTGAAGTATTTACATAGGTGTGTATCAATTTTGCAGCTTCAACCAATTACAGTGACAGTTTTTAAACAAATCAATACATTATGTATGCATATAAAATAGACTGTATTTCTATATATAAACCTAAGCCATTTCCTGTCTATATGGAAAGTATGGGTATTGTCTGCTGTGTGAAAAAAGAAAAAACAAAAAGGATATGCTCCACTTTTTCCATTTATCATCCAGAACATACCCTCATATCAAACGGTTTCTGATTGAAAACAGCCTCTTAATGCATTACAAGTAAAAATAACCCGTTATTGTGTAATATATGATATACCCTTTCCTCTTTTAGGCAAAGCAGTGCCTGCAAATATGTCTAGACAGAGTGATGGAAAAGCACAAATTGGCCTCTAACTGTTGCCACCCACTTATCAGACAAACCTGGAAAAAAATTTAAGATATTACAGTCTCAGTCATTGCACGACACCCATAAGGCAGAAAGTCTCTCTGAGGTTTCATGGCTTACTGCAAAGCAGAAGTGTCAGAAACTTTGTGAACAGGAGCATGACTAACTTGCCTTCATGGCCTGATGAGAATTGCCAAGTGACTGAAGTAGGCCAGGGTGTCCTGTGAGCAGTGGAATATCCCTTGTATAGACAGTGTTAAAAGTCTTCTTCCCATGCTGCTGATGAATCAGTCACCTGCTGACACTGCAGACACGATCAGAATTCAGAATCCATTTGCCACATTTTGGAGGAAAGCTTTTAAGTCCTGACCTAATCCTTCTGCCCTGCACCTGATCATTTTTTAAAAGCAGCTTTTTAACTCTCTTGAGTTTATGTCTGGTAATAAAGTTGTCTTGGACAAGGTTCTCTTTGTAAAAAGATCATTTTCCTTATCTGGCACACCTCCCTGCTATCTTGTCGTGGCAGGAAATCAACATCGTTTGTACTTGTACTGAGGAGTCTCAGGATGCAGTGTACATCGTGGATAACTGCCTTTGGGTTTAGCTGTTCTTCTGTTCTCCTCCTCACCTTTAGAAAAGAATGACAGGGTAACAATGCTAATGGGAAGCAAGAACTGCAGAAGGACAAGAGAAATCAATTGTTCAAGAGTTTTTATCTGATGCCACTTGTTTCCCACTTGCAAAATACTTTGTGTCTGTTATTCAGAAAGTGTTAGTCTTCCCCGTAGTGAAAAGAGAAATGGTGAATCAACAAATCTTTGTGATTTTTGTATAAAGGGTGTGCTGGATGATGCTTATACAGTTTGCAAGCACTTGCATGTTCTCATCTGTGAATGGATAAAGTGTTGGTGTGTAGGAAAAGTGGTTGACTCTGGTTCCAGAGAAGTTACAGAAGTCTTGTCACATTTTCATGTTTGAAAACACCAGGATGGTGAAAGCCAGGCATGGGTTGGGGTGTACAAGCCCTGTGTAGGAGCTGGGAACTGGAATAACACACTGCCACCTGCTTTAGGCCCTTTTCTTTAGTGTTTTGGCTTCTTCATCTCCACAGTTGTGGAATTCCACAAGGTAAAGGGCTAAATGTCTCAAACACCAAGGCAGAATCCAAGATTGGCAGGTGGTTTGTCTGGGTGGAAGAAAAACCAAATAAGTTTGCAGTCACCTTTAATCTCTGAGTCAGCACTGAAGGAAAGGCTCTGCTGTGCACACATGTGCAAATTCCCCATATACCATATACATGCACACATTTATACAGCTGAGATGTAATCTCAACAGCACCTTTTTTCCCTTTTATTTTGGAAAGTATAAGGTTTCTCCTAATGGCATAAACAAGGAAAATGGCACACACAGAACTACCATCTTCACCCAGGCAAGCAAAATGCTGATGGACTTTGCAAACATCACAACAGTTTTGACACAGATGTCCCCGTAAATTGAGCCAAGCTGTTCACTATGCACCAGAAATGGTTTTGTGTTTGAGCTTCAAATTCACCTATTCGTGTGAGATTGCAGCTGCAGCTTTGCTGCAAGGACAGGCAGAAACTCAACCCAGGCAGTAATCTGCAAGACAAACATCAGGAGGAAGCACTTTCCAGTTGAGCTTTGAAGTTACAGCCTTTCTACCAATGTGCTTTGGATTTGCTCCGCTATTTTTAAACCAGAAGAGATGTCCAAGCCTCTGCCCAGCCCTCCCCTTATGTTTGGTGCACTTATCGAGGTTGGCATCCTGTCTGAGGCAGGAGATCAGTCAGGAAGTTAACCAGGAGTCCAGATGCTGCTCTTGGAAAGGCTCATGCCAGAGCCAGGCTTCCACACGTTTCAGCTGCCAAATTCCCTCCACACAAATGTCCACAGTTCCTGGCTCTCGCACTGGGGTAGTTAGAGGAAAAGCCTGAAGAAGAATGTTTTCTACTCTACAATTAATGGGGAGGAGCAGTGCCAGGGGAGCAATACTGCTGACATAGGCTGGCATGCCCTGCATTGCAAGTTACAGTTTTCCAGCCAGAGAAAGTTCTTGTTTGTCCGTGAAGATTTGCACACGTGATGGGACAGGCAGCACACTCCAGGCTCTGCCCTGAGGAAGGGAATTAGGCTGGGCTGCTTTCCCCTTACAGGTTGCACTGACATATAAATGCCTACACACATTTATATGTTAGATAAATAGTGCAGTCCCTATATCCCCACACCATCCTAGGAGAGACACCAATTCTTCAGTAGCTGCTTACACTGTAAACTATGGTTTCTATGAAGCTATGACTTTATTTTCCTTCAGGCTCCTGAAATCCCAATCCCATGGAAAGCTAGGACTGTACCTCAGGCTCTATATAACAGAGAACTTCACATGACAGGAATGCTTTTTTTTCCTAAATAGGGCTTTGGTTAAGCAAATCTGTCTGTGATGCTCTCACTGACATCTCTGTGGTGGGGAACACACCTGCCTTTTGCTGGAGGTCTGGCTCTGCAGGTACTGAAAGGGCTTTTCTTCAGTCACCCTGCTTGAAGGCTGGGGCTGCTTTTGGTAAGCACACACTGTACTACCTGCTCATAAAAAAACAACAGTGAAAAGCCAAACCTGCAAATAGATGTACATGGTGATTTCAAGTCATGATTAATCATCATGCTTCAGCTAATCTGTCCCCTAATTTTAGACCACTGACATGAAGGTTTCTGAGACTGCAAGATCTGTGACCACCATCAGAATGGGGCATCATTTCCTTGGACCAAACCTAAGGGTCAGTAGAGAGCACATGTATACATGTCCCTCCTGGGACAAGAAAGTGTGAGATTTCAAATCCACAGTCACATTAGCACTTTCCAGGACATTAATGCTTTTAACATGCTGAACCCAGGAGTTTTTTTCTTCCAATTTTAGATTACTCATTGAAATCTGTATGGCAACTATGGACCATGAGTCCATAAAAGGTGATGTGGGTAGTGAACCCTTATAGATTCAGTTGTTGCCTGAGGCGTGATTTTGTTTCACAGGTCTCTCTTGCATACCTCAGGGGTGTGTAGTTTGTTAGTTTTGAGCTAGGCTAGGGTTGAGTTTCAAATTACAGCTCAGGGACATCCAAACAAGTAGGAAAAAAATAGATTATTCAATCTAACATGGATTCTTTTACCAGGAAGTTATAAAAGCAACGTGACAGTTGTAATCAGAAAAGGAATTGCTTCCAAAAGTTTTGAGCAGCTAAAAATATAGCAGAGAGGAGGAGGAGGAAGGATTTAGGACAAAAGCTGGAATTCAACCTTAAATACAACAATGAGTATCTACATTTACTGTCATAAAGATCTTCTCATCAAAAGCATGTGCTAAAACTCCCAGTGCACACAGCAAACGCTGCACTATTTTAACTGGTCTATTTTGGGCCCACTTCATAAGGACCCACTGGTCACAGTGGCAGGACTCACTTTTTGCTCATAGCTCCACATGAAGAGACAGCACTTCTCACAAATGACAGTAAAGGCCAGAGTATTTCATCCAAGATTTTATCTTTTGTTTAGTGGCATTTTGGCTTCAGTTTCACTATGCTGTTGACAAAGACATTTGAACATTTTTATTGATTCAGAAATCTGGGCATTAAGACTCATCTTTATAGTTCACTTAAAAGTAAACGTTTCAAAATATAAAACTCCTCATGCAGCTTTTAAACTTTATTGGCTGAAGACTGAGTGCTGTAAAATGATTTTTTCTTCAGTAATGGAAGTTCTATTTTACAGAAAACGGTAACCATTAACTCTGCTTGCTGAGAGCAAATGAACAAAATCAGACCTGCTCTATGAAAAAGGAGGATTTGGTCACCATAATAAAAGTACAAATTTTTCATATCTTCTATTTTCTCAAGACCTGCTCATTCCTAACTCGTGGGTTTTACTACACAGTCATGTGTTAACAGAGGAATCATTTTGCTCATTTTAAATGCAGCTGGAATGAAAAGTGATACAGGCGGAAACAGGAATGAATGAAGGACAACTTGGAAAATTGTTTTTTCCTCTTCTTCCCCGTAGCGCTTGCCTACTACCTGGAAGGAACTCAGGATGTAATCCATGGTAGCATCAGCTACATCCTTGCCCTTCCTGGCTGCTGTTTTTCTACTCTCAAAAGCATTCTGTCTGGATGAACCAGAATTTCTCCAGTCAGTCCATTATAGGGCTTCATAATCTTACTATCACAAAGATTGGGTGGTTTTTTTCCCCTTGGTGTCTAATAAGAATCTGCCCTATTCCAGCTGAAGCCTCTCCTTAGCTCTCTATCTCACCACAGGATCTGTGTTCTGCTATTTGTAGTAACCCTTCAGATATTTAAAAACATTCTCAGCATTCACTCCTTTCTCTTTTTCTTTACAGTAAGCAAATGCACTTTGTCCAGTCCTTGCCCCACAGGTAATTTTTGTTGTTCCTGTGAGGATTGCAACAATGCTCTGGATCCTCAACAGATTATCAGCATCTTTCTTACATGCTGTGACCAAACTGAACTAAATGGGGCTGGATTCATAGATAGACAAAATATCTGCAGCACCCAGAGTGCTGTGGCTCCTGAGTGTCTTTTCTAGCACTGCTACTGGTGACACTGATACTGGCAGGTCCCCTATGACCTGCATATGGCATCTGCATGATCCCAGGCATGCTCCAACAGCTTCTAGCACATACCTGGCATCCCTTCAAAGAGAATTAAAGGCCTCTTGCCTCCACTTTTTATAATGATGATGTTTTCAGCGAGAGCCAGGCCCTGAATTAATCTCTGTTCCCCTTTTTCACTCCCAGATCTCACAAGGATGTGCCTTGTCACTTCTTGAGCTCTCCTTGTCTGCAGAACACAAAATTCTTCACACGAGGGAACAGCATGTGGGAAGGTTTGAGAATTCAGCAAGCTCTCCTCACATAAATCATATAACATCTCTCACAGTGTCCTTCAGCTGCTGGAGAAGTTATTATCCCCATCCTGCTTTACTGCTGCATGCTATTTTTGCAGCTTTTTTGATAAATTTTCTGTACTGAACACCTATGGAGTATCTGCTTGGTCATCTGTGGCATCTTTGCCTCTGTCTCTAGACCTGACAGAATTGTTGAGAAAATGGTTTTTGGTAGAGCCTTCTTTGACTTGAACCCCATCACAAACAGAACACCTTCAAAATTGCATGGGCACTATCAGACACGTGCAATCACTGGGAGAAGGGAAAAGAGTTGTGCCCTGTCCCCGAATGACTGCTTTTCACATGTGTTTATTCTTTCTCCCTGGATGTAAAGTTTGGCTGCAGGAATTGATTTGAAGGGCTGGGAGAGAGCTGATTGTGGCTGATGGAAGCCTTTGTGGGGGTAACAAAGTTGTGCTGCTCTGGTGGATGCAGCTACAGAAAGCTCAGGGTTCAGGACGTCAGGTTAGGGTGGGCTAGACACAAGTACAACTTCTCAGAGGGCAAGGTATAGGAAAGGGTAAATAAATGTCTTTGGACCGTTTAGTAATAGTTAAATACATGTGAATGTGGAATGAAGGCTGGGCAGACAGGGCCTGAGTCTGCTCAGACATGGGATGCTCCAGAATACCTCTAAATCCATATGGGGTTGGCATTTTTGTGGCTGTACCCACCACTGACTGTCAAATGGCCTGAACTCAGCCCCTCTCTGACATTCAGGCTGTTCCTCAGCATGGACATGGCCTAAAAGCATCTCTCATTGATTCAGACATCCCTTAATTTTGTTCAGTTCTGGAGGTTAAATAAGCAGGATGGTTGGAGCCCAGCTCATGATGTGCTGACCACACAAGCAGAGGTGTGCAAGTAGACCAGAGAGCCACAAGAGCACAGACCTGGGACAGGATGGGTTGTCCAAATACTTTTCCAACATGCTGGCAGGATTTTCCAGCTGTTGCTGGTGTTCACACAGATGAATTTAATGCTAGCTTAGAAATTTCTTCCAGAGCAGTACTCACACCCATGAAGTAGAGACATATTTTGGGAGGGAATAAGACACTCAAGCGGTACCTCCCTCTCTTTCCTTTGGGATCTGCTGCTTCCAGCTCACCCCAGCCCTCCCTCAGATGGCAGTCTGTGTTTCTGCTGTCCAAACCTACCCAGCATGACCCCCCAAAGCCCTAACTCTGCCATAGGCAGGGATGTCCAAGCCAATATTCTCCTCCCAGAATAAAAGGAAAAAGAACAGCCCTTCACCTTGCATTTAAACTCCCTAAAATAAATGCTAAATAAGCTTGAAACTGGCGTATGTGTGTATGTCCGTCTGGGAGCAGGGAGCTGGTGGGGCAGGTCTGACTGACACAGGCTCACCTCCCTTCCTTGGCTGACCTGAGTCCCTCCCAAGGATCCCCCAGCACCCTCCCTGGCAGGATGGCATTCCCCCTCGAACGAGTGATCGCATTACCCAGGCCCCTTGTGTAATTCTGGTTCCCAGCAATTGTTTTCTGGTGACCTTTTATTGTTAACAATTAGCGCCAGAGCTGGAGCACAACTCGTGTAAGCATATTTTACATCCTCCTCAAGCAAACAAAAAAGCTGGGTGGGCACGGTCCAGTTTCCTGGTTCACACCCATGACTCCTTTGTGTCTCAGATCTCCTCCCACCATGTGTCATAGTCAGCAAACCCACTCCCTTACCTTTTGGCTCCCAGATAGAGTGACGTCTTCGAGGGATGCGTAGGCATGCTCAGTGTATCCCATTATTTCCTTTCACATCCTATAAGAACACTGCCTCTCCCTAATACTCAGTCTTTCCTTATCCACGAGGCCAGAAACGTAAATCCCTATGAAACAGAGCGCAAAGAGTGAGTTTAAAGGATGGTTTCTATTTATTTAAATGTAGAGGCTATAAACACCGCCCTCCTACACTGTGTTTTGGGTTCTTGCATGTATTTCCATACAGTAAATATCTCGAGAGTTCCCTCTGCTCGACCTCAGTGATATACACACATCCCTGGAGGCACAAATACATCAACAGTCTGCTAATCTTCACAAGTAATAACATAGATTTTTCTTCTGTCTCCTCACTTTATTAAACTACATTTGGGAAGAAAAGGTGTAGTTGGCTACCTGCTCCAAACCAGTTGTGGTAGCCCCGGAATATGCCCAGCTCCTGAGCTGAGGACCCTTCCCAGATGCATACCTTGCCAGTAAGTCCTTGTTTTTCCCGTGGGGAAGAAGGGAATATGGGGAGGCAAAAGATCAGGGAAAGACACTCCAATCTAATCTTGTTTCCTGCATTACGGTGTGTGCGTTCGAGGGGGTGTGCGCTGGGCAGAGGGGGGATGCTACATTAATCAAATCGTGATTCTTTTAGGCTACAATAGGCAATTAAAAACAACAACTTGAATTTCTCCTGCAGTCTGTTGGCAGCTAACACACAACTCATTCTTTCTGCAGATAGCTTTACTTAGCAGGTCTGTGCTATGACTAATGAAGCCATCTCTCCTCTAGCGCTAATTCCAGACCTTTTGGGAAGGAGCCTGGCTGCATCCCTGCATGGCCCTCCCCTCCTTGCAGGCTCCTTATGGCCACCCTGCAGGTCCCTCCCACTGCCTGCACTGTGCTCGGGAAAAGTGTGAGAAAATATTTCTCCCTCAAGTCTGCTTTCAGGAGAGCGCTGCTTCACAATGACATTTAAGGACAGATTTTTCTGGGGCACTTCTCATTTTATCCGAAACATTTGAAAACCGCTTTCTTGGCAATCTTCTTGCTTGCTCCTCGGCGGCATGTTATCTGATCTCTCCATAGCCACTGGCTGTGGGGGGAGGCATGTGTTTCACCGGTAAAGTCATAGTTAAACTAAACATTAAACTGTCCAAGAACTGACTTCCTCGACAGCTCTGATTCAGGCTCCCAAAAATGCTCCACACAGTGAATCATGCTTCCTTCTGGAAATGACAGAACTTCCTCATCATGGTGTTCTAACTTGCCCTCTCCTCGTCTCCAGTGCTATCAGGAAAGGATTGAATTGCATGCCACGTTTTTTCCGTGGTCGGCAGGGAGATGCATCCTTTTTGAAGGGGAAGAATTTCTATGAGTCAAAGGATGACAAACTGAAAATTAGTACCAGCCGCAGAAATAAATGACAAACAACAACATAAAGCCCCGTAGAGGTGGCCAGTGGGTGTATATTGGCTATTTGCCTTTCTGGCAACTTGAGTAGCCTAATGACTGAGAGGCAAACTTGCTTTTCACCACTGAAAGTAGGAGCAAAGTTGAAAGCACTAGTATTAGCTCTCTGATTATCTTTCCTGTGCTTGGTTTGACAGGTCTTGTCTGCTTGCAAGTCAGGTAAGGTGGAGCAGTGCATGAAAGGTCCCAGAGTCCATCCCAGCTTTGAAGGACACACAGCCAGAGTGTGGGGAGGGGGAGGATAAAGGACAGTGTTTTCTGGGGCTTGTTCCAGTCAGACTCACACAGCAGACTGGTTCACAGGCATTGTGGTGACAGCAATTTAGAGACAGTTTGATGCACAAGACTTTGAAATCAAAACAACAACCCCCTGCTTCACCCCCACCCCACGCAAACCTCTGACTGCTGAACAACATGGAGTTGGGGTAAATACCTGACCATATGGTAAATGATGACTTGCACTGGGAATCAAAATTTTAACAGCTCTTTTTGCTTTGTATACGAAATTTTAACTCTCCCAGAACCAGTGCAGGTGAAAGCCCAAGATGCATAGTCATTATTAGTTGCCAGGCTCTGGGCATTCCTTTGATGAAATCCTGTTCCAAAAGCAAGAATCCCAAAGGAATAAATTTTCAAGCTTATTTAGTCATAATAAAATAGGAGGGGTTGGACATTAAAAACTGGAGAGTGGTTGAATGGAAATATAGGGGCAATTACTGTGCTTTCCTTAGAATAAACTTGCCTTCTTTCCCTAGCCATAATCCATAATCAGCAAAGCACTATGCACTTAATAGGGAGGAAGAGTAAATAATACCAAAATACGTAAACTTTCATGCATTTTAGGTAGATGAAATGCATTTTTTCAAGACTAATTGAGGAACATTTATTGCCTTTGAGACTTAAGTTTATATTCCTGCCCTTTACATTGTCCCTGAGAAAGGGTATTGTTTGCATATTGACATTTCATTATTTCAGTGTGGTTCACACTTGCTGTTTATAGCAGATGAAATACATTAGAAAGAGGCATGAAGAAAAGAAACAAAATAAATGCTTAAAGCATCTGAGTCTGTTTGGGATTCTCTGTTGCAGCAAGTAGGCTTAAAGGTGGGAGTCAGAGAACGTAGAAGTGGAAGAAAACTCCTGAACATCAAATTCAGTCACAAGTAGCACAAATATAGAGTACTTTTCATAAATGGGCCAAGTTCTATCTGAAAAGAAGTCAACTTGTTGTTTCTTGAAAGGCTACTCCATGTCTTACTCCTCCAAGTTATCTTTTTCTGATTTCCTCCACATGCTTCTTTGTGGCCAGAACAATCTTTGTGGTGTCTGTTTTAACTCAAAATCCACTAGTAGCAACAATCCACTACTTAAATATAACACTTCCAGGCAGCAGTTGATTCAATCATAGGAGTAAAAAATATTCTTAATAACAACTAACAGTCAGGTCCTTCACATGCATGTATTAAAGACTAGGGTAGCACACAGGATAAAAGTACCTGCTCATTCTTGACTCTGAAATCATGATCCCTTAGCAGATCTGGAGCTACAAGGAAAGGGATAGGTATTGAATCCCAAGGACTGATCATGCTCAGCAGTTTTGCAATCAGATAGGACCTTGCCAATTTGCTGACTCATTTCCTTTGGTCCCTCGGATGTAAAAATGAGAGGTCTCATCCCACTGCCACTGTACAGGGTATGCCTCACCAACGGAGTCCAAACCAAAGCAATCTGAATCTAATGGGAAAATTCACACATCAAAAGTATGTAGACTCATGGAAATGTAATTGAAACAACACTCGGAAAGAACATTTTGGGTTTTTTAATTTCGTTAGTTTGAAAACTGTAGTCTTAATGCAGAAAGGCTTATTTTAAACCACAAAGAGAGCTGGGGGAATTAGAAATTATCTATTTTCAGCAGCAATGTCTGTTGCATTTTTTTATTCATCTGTCTTTCAGATGAGAGTTTGAGCCCATTTTTGTACAGCTGTTGGCAAACCTCCCCTGGACTGCAGTGGAAGAGGCCGATTTTTCATGTTTGGAAGATGCTTCAGATTTCTTCTGTCACACAACAAGCACATGCAAAAAGAACTGTTCAAGTTGGATAGGCTGCAACACAAGACAAAGGTCTCATTCCCAGGGAAGGGAATACTTGGTTTACAGGAGGGTGCGAGGCTTCCATGGACAGGAGAAGAACACCAGGGTTAAACGGGAGTTTTGAACAAGGGAAAAAGCACAGACCAGCACCAGGTATGGTCTCTGTGGCTCCAAACCAGAGAACCTGAAGGCAACAGTGGTGGCCAGAAGAAGTTTTGGAGTTGGAGAAGTCAGGCTGGAGTGGGGAGTGGAGTGGAGGACATACTCCCAGCATCAAAATGTCTCCTTATAGCTCTGATTGGCCATATAAAAATGCTCTGTGTTTGGGTAACACTTGGCTGGTTGTACAACACACTGTACTTATCAATGGTGACATTTATGAATGTAATTGCACACAGTGATTATGGATTTAGGGGGCTCTGCTCCCACCTCCCTTCATATCTGTGAATACCACAGTGAGTAGAAAAATACCATAGTAATTCAAAGAAAGGCTTTTCTCAAAGTGCTAGCCTGGAAAAGGAATAATGCAGCTCCTCTGTGAACGGTGCAAGAAGCCATGAACTATCTTCAGAAAAGCTGTCAAAATCAAAACTGCAAAACTTTCCCATCACTTCCAGTCCACAGGCTGGTCTCTCTTTTCTCCTACAGATGCACATGTGTGTGAACACATAACCATGATTATGAGCTCTCTTTCCAAACCACTCCTCCCCCTACTCACCCCCTTTTCTGCTGCCCTGTCCACATGCACACGCTCTGGCTCTTTGCTCTTCTGCTCAGGACAGATTGACTGCTCTTGCACACTCACAGTTGGAAAACAAAGTGAAAACCCAGGGCCAGAAGGGTTTGTCCATTCTCAGCCAGCTGCTGCCACCCAAGGAGAGCCAGGGAAGAAGCTCCTGCCAGCCCACAGCTCCTCCTGGCTATCAGACTGCTGCTGACTCCTTGGCTGTGGATTCATCCACTGCAGCCCTGTGACTTCTCCCAGCTCTGCAGGGCTGGAGCAGGTCACCACGTGCCTTCAGAGGGCTGTGGCTGGGACTGTGTGCTCCTGGTGACTCACTAGGAGGTCACCAAATGAACCAGATCCCAAGCACTGAGAAACTCTGCCAGCCCTGTGCAAATGGGAGAAAAAGGAGGAAGGAAGTCCTGTTGTTGCATTTTTTTATGATGATCAGTGCTGAGTCAAAAAAAGGGCTCCAGGATTAGAGGGAGGGAAAGCTCAAATCATTAGAGAAATAGAATTTTAAAAGGGTAAGCCAGCTGGATAAGAGTGGGAGCCCAACAGACACCATATTCTTCTCACTGTATATGATGGTTGTGAGAAAAATCAGAGAAGGGAGTGACAAGTGGGTGGTGATAGTCTTCACTGCTAGAGTATGACCTGCTTTTTTTCTCATCCTGGCCTCTCACTGATCCAACCTATTATTCCCTGTGGGAAGACAGAGGGAGAAGGCAATGTTGGGCAGGTCCAGTTGAGTTTCCTCTCCCTAAGGGATGCCTCTGGAGCAACGGGGTTGATTTCTGCTCAGCCTTCCGTGAGCTGTTCTCAG